TTACTGATATGACTTTTGAGCTTCAACATTGTATATTTGTCTGTGAGAGATATTTTCTAAGCTTTCTTTGAAAGAAAAAACCATAATTTCCAATCTTGTATAAGGTCACTAGCAAGCTTGTAAAGCTAGGGAAAATCTGTAGAGGATTGCTCCATGTGTATGAGGTTACTAGCACCCCTGTGAAGCTAGAAAATTTGTGGAGGATTACTCCATATTTATGAGGTTGGTAGCACCCCTGCGAAGCTAAAAGATAGTGACAAATCTCAAATAAAGCTTGAGAAGTGGACGTAGGCTTGATTGAAGCCAAACTACTATAAATCTTGTTTGTATTCTCTTCTTTAATCTCTTTACTTTGCTACTACTCCTATAGCTATCTGATATTCATGTGTTAGTCATTTGATTTATTCTCTATGTTAGCTATACTTCATTGCTATTTTCCTTGATCATTTACTATTAAGTTTATCATTGTGCTTGTTAATTATTTATTGTACTAGTTATAATTTTTATTGGGGTATTATTGATTTTAATTTGTTGAAACCTAATTCACCCCCCTCTTAGGTTGCTTTTTGGGTAATAGCTCTCTTTATTATTTCCAAGATGGAGGATCACAAGGTAGTTGACCATGGAGATATATGCCCATTGTAACCATGCATACATTTCCTTTGTTAACTGTTTCCGTGATTCTAAGAAGGGAAGACCAACCTAGGTGGCACTTTGCACATGTATGTATTCACAATGTCCATGTCTGCTTAAGAGGTTGGTTCCTTTCATACGTCAGCTTGGCCTTTTATAAGATTGCTCATAGAGATGGGCTGGCCCATTCAGATGGCCTTGAGTAAGTTCAGCCCACTTCGGTTCTACTAAAGGGTTCGGCCCAGCTTAGGCCCGTGCCTGGGTTGGCTTGTGTCTAGCCCAAATGCTTGAGGACTTGAGAGGTTAATTCGTGTGGAGATGGGCTCACTCGTTTGGCCCATGTGGATATCTAGCCCATTCAAATGGCTATTTTGGGTTTGGGCTTAGTGGTATGGACCGGCCCAAGGGTTGGATCTGAGCCATTTATACTTTGCCCTTCAGCTGGGTTTAGGCTTAAATAGTTAATAAAAATAAATAAATTAAAATAACTAATAAGATAAAATGTCACATCCAAATCATATTTTTTTTAAGAATTGTGTGTGATGATCTTAATAAGTGCATTTTTTGACATTTTACGAAAAGAAGTACAAAAAATTAGAAAGATGATTTGACTCAAAAAACATAAAAAGAAAAAAAAGTGTGCTATTTTAGTGTACCCCAAACAAGCTCTTACTTTTTCTCTCACAACTATCAAATCAACTATAAAAAAAATTAAAAAAAAAAAAAAAAAATCAACTATCATCCCAAACATAATTTTTTTAATCAGGCTAAAATAATTAAAAAATAATAAATAAATAAATAAAAGTCAACTAAAATAGTCTATTTCCAAACGGGGCCACTACCTCTCAAATTATGAGTAGCAGTGGATTGTCATTTTTGTTTTTTTAGGATTAGACTTCCTGTCCGAAATTGGACTAGAGTTTATTGTTAGGCCCATGGGGCTCACCACAGGTCCATTTTTGATGATCCGAACCATTCAGTGTGTAGAACTCGTCGAGTACTTCTTACCTACAAAAAATCATGTTGATCGGATATTAGTAGTCACTTGATAGATCATATTTCTATTAATGGTAAATATAATTTTAAAAATAAATTATTAACAAAAATGTATTCTGATCAAGTGGCTATCGATATCCGATCAGCGAGCTTTTTTTTATAGGATGATGTATTCGACGAGTCCTACACGTCCCACAAGCGCAAAAAGCACTATCCAATTCAAAATTTGAATTTTTTTTTTTTTTTTTTTTAACTTTTTCATATATGACATGATATTTTTGACTTTTTTGTGATAAACCAAAAAATTGAACACTAATGTTGTAATGATCAATTTTTTTAATCAAATAACTTAATATTTTTATAATTGTAGAAGATCTATATTATTTATTCAATGACTATAAAAATGAGTTCGATTTCTCTCAAATTAGTTATTTCAATTTGAGAGAGAGTTTAGATTTGGCAAACTCATTTTTTGGCTGATTTCGGTGATTTAAACTATTCACTTTTTAAGATTTGTTATATATAAAAAAAATTAAAATGATCGAATATCGATAATTATATTTGAATCAAATTTGTATTTAAAAAATAAATAACTATTCTTCAAATTATATTTGCCATTTATTTTTTAAAACAAATATGATTCAAACATATAACTATTGATATCTAATTATTTTTATTTTTTACATAAATAATATATTTAACTAATTTTTAAAAATAAATAATTTAAATTATCGAAATCGATTCCAAAATAAACGTACCTAATTCAACTTGATTAAACAGCTACACGAGTTAGATGACATACACTCATCTGTTACACTTTGGTTAACTAAACTAGAGTTTGTTAACTCACTAGCTAACTAATATCTAACCAACACCAAGTACAACTGACTCAGGTAATTCTGTAACAAGAGCGTTGCTCCACTGTTGTGACACACCATTAGCTTGTGTGCACACTCGTGCTAGGGCTGCTCGCTCAAGATCGAGCTGAGAGAGATTCCTTATCATGCCCCCATCAAGCCAATCGCTCTTTAAAATTGAAATGATAATTTGAAGGCGGTCAAACTCTAATTGTGTAAATTTATTATTATTATAATTAAAGAAAAAATCATTACATTCATTAAAATGAGTTTTTTCATAACCTTTAAATGATAATATAAACGATTTCAATCAAGAGTGATAGACCTCAACTTTCATACAATATAATAATGCATGAATACCAGTAAGATGCCGTGTCAAATCAATTAGATCTAATTTAATTGGTCACCTTGACTTTAGTAAGGGCTTAGTCCTTAGGGAGAAGTTATGTGTTCGACTCTCTTTATGAGAGTTTAATTAAAGGGTCAAGCATTTAGTGATTGTAAATAATGGAAAGACTAACTTTCATATGTGTTAATTTAATAACTAACAACTGATTTTTATCGATAAAAAAAAAATGATGTCATGTCAAATAATGAAGAGTTCGGTGTAAAAAGTTAACCATTCTAATATTCTCTCTTTCTATTTTTATTTTTATTTGTACATGTATTTTTAAAAAATTTCATCTTAAATTTCTAATAACCTGCCATATATATGTCAAATCCAGTAATGCTATGCGAATAAAAGATACAAAAATGTTCAAAAAATTCACATGTGATCTATATTTATTCTTGGGTTGTGTTCTAGACTTCCCTTAGCATTTTGGTTGGTATTCTTGTGATCGTAATTTTTAAGAATATACCTTAGATTTGAATTTTTGAAAAATTTCAACAATTTATGAACAACACAAAATTGATAAAGCAAATTTTTGTTCTCATTCCTATGTTGATGATGAACATGTGATCTAAGAAACCTATTTAATTTGCACTGAGTAGGACTAATGTGATAAAAAAAAACACCACAACAATGATAAGTTGGTTTAAACCTAGATTGAGGGGGATGTTTGGATTTTTTTTCAGCTAAAACACTCAATCATATTGCTTTTTTTTATTTTTTTTTATATATTTTTTCATATAAAATTAAAAAGCTAATTATAATAACCACATCGCAAACGTGCTCTGAGTTAGCTCAATATGCTTGGTGCTACTCTTCTTCTTCTGAGAGAGTTCTATGCATTAGATTAAACCAAAAAGTCATTACAAATTATATATTCTTGTGAAAAAAATAATAATAATGTTTGTGACTTCCTTTTGGAGAGACCCTCACCACCCCCACAGTGATGTGGACCAATAATATGTTTGCATTTTTTTTTATTTTTTTTTTCTCTTTCTTATTTGGACCAATTACAAGTGAGCAGAGATTGTGAATGTGATGTTTTGTAAGAGTCTGAATTATTACTGAAAAAATAATAGTTACGCTAAGGTTTCAATAATATCATTTCACACACGATTTTGACCCAAGATCATTAGCCAAAAGCATAGATACCAACGTGAGAGCATCTCCAACTTAATATCTTGGTATTCATCCAAACTCCAACATTCTTTATTTTCTCCCCCTTAATATTTCTCTCCAAAACTAACCAAAATTACGTAAATTAATAAAATTAGTAAATTTTTGTTCATTAAAATTAACCAAAATCAGAAATGGTGGTGATGAATTTAGATTCTCTAACCAGTAACTAATAATAAATGTTTAATTTTGAAATTTTTGTTAAATATATTAAAAATTATATTCATTTTAAAGATATGATTTTATTTTTTTTAATGATACCAAATTAATAAAAATTAGATGTACATATCAAAAGTCATTTGTATTTTATAACATCTAACAAAAAATACAAAAAGATATGATCGGTGAAAAGAAAAGGTGTTGAATACAAAATTGGTATTTACAAAAATGAATAGTATTATGAAGATCATCCTTCATATTTCATACTCTCCCTATATTTGGAGGAAGAATCACTCATCTTAAATGGAGACAATTTTAAAAGATGGGTTGGAAATGAAAATCCTTCAAATAAAAGATATAAAAGGTGGGTTAGAGATGCCTTGAATGATCCATACTATTCACATTGCAAACTAGTCTTGTCTCCTTAAATCTAACATAAAAAGCAATGGACACTTAAATCATAGAAATTAGTTAAAACACCATGTATTTGGCTCATAAGTAAGGCCTTTAGGTTTAGTTATACATGCAGATATTAAATATCTATACTATATTTTAATGTGAACTCCATTGGTGTGTAATACTCTTTTCCTATTTTAAAAATATCACAAAAACGTATTTTCTTTTTTACCATCCAAAGTGTTCGATGGAAAAATCAATGGCTAACTGATATGGTACCTCTATGATAAAAATAAAATAAAATAAGAGAGAAAAAACTGATATGGTACCTCAGGTTCAATTTCACAGTTTAAACACAATTAACATCTCACCATGCTAGTTTATCCAGTGGAGAGGAGAACAATTTGGCAATGTTTAGGACCAAAAATAAAAAATTGTCCATGATATGAGTAAAATACACCATCTTCAAGCATTTTCAAACACAACTGCTCAAGTCAAAACAACAAAATTAAGTAGGAACCACATAAAAATTAAAAATAAAAATAAAAAGGCCGAAATCCATTGTATATCTCAACTCATCAAACTGATCCCCAGAAAAGGCCTTAGCAGCATTGCAAGACATAAAAGTTACAGACATTTTATTGATAACTAACACCGTCACCACTAACAACCTCACCAATGCGGTATGCTGTATATGCCCCCTTCGCATCCCCTAATATTCTATGGGCTGCCTCCTGACTGACAACGAGAACCATCCCAATACCCATATTAAAAGTCCGCCTCATTTCAGAATCTTCTATTCTTCCTGCCTAAAGAGGGGAGAAAAATAAAAAATAAAAAATAAAAATTTTAAGGCAAGAAGTTTATATGCAACGACGCATCAAATGATAATCGTTTGTATATGAGATCCATAGTTTTTTTCTCAATAAGAGACTGTAGTAGTATCAAGTCACTATCACATAACTCATAAAAAAATTTGACAGTCCAGCACCATATACTGTAGGAAAAAAATATGTTCAATCATCCAAATAAAGTTTGAGGGAAAAAAAACAAATGATATTTACCTGCTGTATCCATTTGAACACGGAAGGGATTACCCAAGAGTCCTTATAAATGAGAGCTCCAAGGCCTTTTGGAAACACTCGAGGTATGTTGTCTGTAAAACCACCACCTGTGACGTGGGCTATTCCCTTCACGCCTCCCTTGCTAATTATGTCAAGCACCTTTTCCAAGAAAAACAAAAGGTTAGATCTTGAAGATAGAAACAAATAAAAGCAACAAAATCGATCAAAATTAAGTGGAATGGAAGTGAGTGACGACCTGCTTAACATATATAACAGTCGGGGCCATTAGAGCTTCCCCTAATGTAACAATTTCACCAGGAAGTTGGTTGTTCAGAGAAAGGCCACTTTGAGCCAGAACCCTATAAATATCCACCATATGCAAAGATATTAAATTTAGAGCACAAAGGGTCTGAAAGAAAGTTGGTGGCAAATATCAATTTAGACATTGACTAATTGAGGTGCTCATCAGTGATTTTAATTTTTTTTTTTTTTTTTAAAAAAAAGAAGAAAAAAATTGGGATTCTTACACGTAACACAGTAAATGGTAAACTTATTACATTTAACACCATTAAGTGGAAAATGTTGTTTTAAGGTATATGTTCAAGAACTTATTCATTAACAAGTAAAAAACACAGATGCAAAAAGTCATTTTTATGTTGCTCTTCTTTCCGTCATTCTCCATCACAGCATGGTGGAGGTTTTTCCAGTGGCAAAGGCCAGTGAAGAGATCAAGCAACCGATCTGATGACTCTTGATCAAGCTCTTTCCATCACTAATGTTGTTTTCTATAACATCTGTTTCAAACTGGTCTTCTTCTAGGAAACATAAAGTAACAAAATGCTAAAAACCACACAAAACCCCATTGATACGATGAACAACAGAAATATATTAATAAGATCAAAACACAATTTATACACCAATCTGACAATGATTGGAACTATCACTACCCCCCAACAACGTTATTGCAATGGGTGAGAGTGAGAGGAGGGCCAGTGATGGGGGTGAGGGAGAGGTGATTGCGGTGGGTGAGGAAGGGGACGAGCTGCAACATGGGAAGCAAGGAGGAAGAGGATCGGCCACGGTCACAGTGGAGGAGTGAGGGGTTACAGTGGCTGCAGTGGGTGAAGGTATGGGCATCAGCAAAAATGATGTTTTACCTATATTTCTGACTGAAAATTAAGTTTTTATACATTTGACTTCAAAGAAAAAATTTCATTTATTAGAGTTAATTATAAAAACTTTTACCATTCAATAACCAAAGCAAAGGCAAACCTTCTAACAAGAGAGAAACCGTTGGAATGAACTCCGCTAGATGGCAAGCCAACGAGGACATCTCCAACAGTGATGTTCTTCCCATCAATAACTGAATCCTTTTTTACAATACCAACCGCGAAACCACTAAGATCATACTCGCCATCTGCATAAAAATCTGGCATCTCTGCAGTCTGAAAAGCACATATTGTGATTGACAGAGTGCAGCTAAAAAATAAGTTTTTATTCCACAATTACCCAATTTCTTAGAATTCTCATATATTGACAAAAGAAGAAACAAGCAGACATGCACACTCTTGAGCACACATGTACAAAACCCAACTGTTGAGTTTAACTAGATCATGCACACTAATTTGTCGAATTCTATTCTTCCAAATCATGAACAATGAGAAAATCAATAAAATTGAGTTAAAAATATTTCCAACTAGCAAGTCAAATCCTTAACTGAGATCAGCATGCATGATAAAACAGCCACATCTCCAAAATTCCAATCGACATACTCGACTGAAAACCTTGACCCAACTATTTTGGGTCATCTAAATACCTATTTTTCTACTCAATCAAAGACCAACCAACAGAGAAAATTCATGGAAAAAATGTCACCATTATCAAGCTACATAAAATAAATAAATAAAAAAGGTCTCTAGTGCCTAGTGCCTAGTGCCTCGCATTAACATTTTCCTTTCCATCATGCTCAACACTATAAAGTACACCAACTTCCCCCCCCCCCCCCCCCCCCCCAAAAAAAAAAAAAAAAAAAAAAAACACACACACACACACATATATGAAAGGCTCTAAAAATGCTACTGAAAATACCTCTCCCCCCAAAAGTGCGCAGTCAGATTGTTGGCAACCATCAACAATACCTTTTATAACCTGAATAGCACAAAATAAATAATGACAATCTGAGAAACCAAGGAAAAAAAATGTTTGTATTGAAAATTAGCATACCTTTTCAGCAAGATCAACATCAAGATGGCTTGTGGCAAAGTAATCAAGGAAAAATAAAGGTTTTGCTCCGGAAGTAACAATGTCATTGACACTCATTGCAACCTAGAGAGGAAATGTGTTAGGAAGCTTCATATGAATAGCAAAAACGTAACATTTTTTGCAAGTAAAAAGCTTTTGGGTAAATTACATTGACCTCAAAGAGGTTTTTTAGCTCATACATTAGTACCTATATGGTCCTATAAATTACATCCCCCTTCCTAAGTTTTCTAATGGCATTTTCGTTTTCCCACTCCCATTAAGTGGACATTGAGGCATTAAGGGAATCTTATTGACATCATCAGCACAAAAATGTATACTTCAATGAAAATAGATAGGGGTATGCAAAAAACCATTTAACCTGCCCGAACTGCCCTGATCTGATCTGCCCCCCGGCAATTTGGAAGGATTAGCAGTGCGAGTTGGGCAGGTTGAAATATTTTTTAAGATGGGTCGATTTAAGTGCGGTTAAAAAAAATTATAGTCAGCCATTAAATCAAACAAACACACCATACTTTATATAAAATAAGTAAATCAATTCTTAAAAGAAAAAAAATCTATCTAAACTCACTCTTCATCTCTCATCTCCTCAGTACACAACACGTCTCCTCTCTTTCATCATCAAGTCCAACTTCCGATTACATGTTTGGTGATGTGGTGTGGCTGAGGGGATGAAGGATTGGTACTTTAGTATAGTGGTGGTTGTGATCAAGTGAGGCACTAGTGGTGGGAGCAGAGTTGGGGTTCAATTGGTAACATAGTGTTGGGTGTGGTTTTGGTGGCTTCTCCAAATTGAAAGAAATCAAGCATAACAAAATTGTGCTTCTGAAATATCGTTTTTGAAAGACATTGATAGCGATAATGACGTAGTTTAGAGATACAAAAATGGGTGGTGATAAAGAGAAAAGTAGAAAGCGAATAAAATAGTGGCAAAATGTGATAAATTTGGTAAGGTATCATGGGCAAAAGGGTCAATTTAATCAAAATGACATGACTGAAAAAAATTCATTTTTTGTATAAACAATGTAGGGTATATATGAAATTTTTACCCATCGTTAACTCCTTAACAGACAAAATCAGTATAATTTACCCAAAGATTTTTTAGGAAGACAAAACAAAAGAACACGAGACATTATAAACTTTACCAGATCAATGCCAATACTCTCATGAATTCCAGTTTCAAATGCGAGCTTAAGTTTAGTACCTACTCCATCTGTACCGGCCACAAGATAGGAATCCCCTATTCAATCAAAAAAAGACAACAGAAATTAGCAAACAAATCATTACAAAAAAAGGCGAGCAACAACAACAATGCCTTAATTGCTAGTTCATATGATTGCCTAGTTATACACATACACAATTATGGGCAATCTGAACGATCAATCAATAGACTTAATGCAAAAACTACCCAGAATAAACACCAAATGATCTGTTATGTTATACATGCTGAGAACAGAAAGCATGCAAATCATGAGAAAATGTAATCTTGGAATTCTTGTGTTGGGAAATCTTTCATTGGTTGTCCTAGCTCATACAAAAAGAGTAAAAAAGACAATTCGGAAACAAAATACCTTGACATCTGCCTAAGAAGAACGGACACAGACACGGACACGGACATGGACACGGATACGGGACATGGCGATTTGAAAAAAATGAGGACACAGATACCGTGGAGACCTAGTGTTAAAAACTATCACCTACTTCACCCACTTAAACCTACTCCATTAAACCTAACCCACTTCATCACTACCACCTCACCTACTCCACTAAACCTAACCCACTACACCACTACCACCTCCACTTCACCTACTCCTTACCTACTACACACTCACCCTCTTCTATATATAGGAATCATGAATCATTGTAATAGAAATCAACATATATCAATCAATAATACAATTCTCTACTTCTTTTCTTTATTCATTAATTCTCACATGGTATCAGAGCTATAAGATTTAGGCCCTTACTTTGTTTTCTCACCGGCGGGCAGCCGGCCGGCAACCTTGCCTTCGCTGCCCGCTGGAATTTTGTACACATACCTCCACTTTCCTGCATCTTCCAACTTTCTTACAACTGTTGTCCCATAGATGGGCTTCATATCTACCAGTCCATCTATGCCTTGTGACACCTCTATCCTGTGAAGTCCTCTGTCCAAATGTATCAATGGACTTCCTATGGACAACCTGCTTCTGATCAAGCTTCTCAGACCCTCTTCTAGTTGCAAACTACAACATCCACCACCAAACACCTGCACCCATTGCAGGTAGATGCTCTAACTTCTTCTCGACAGCAGAGGAGGATTGAAGAGTGGAAGAAAATTGCTGATTAGGTTGAAGGCCTTCGCGACCCTTTTTTTCTGCAAGCTCTCTACAATTCATGGCAGCTACAACATCCACCAGTTGCACAAGCTTCTGCAACCTCAGAGCCAACCCCGTGGAGCCCAGGGTCCAGTCTCCCCAATCCATGGCTCACCAGGTAGGTGCGGATAGCTCGATGGGGTGGCCATGTGGCTCGTCAATGGAGTCGCGAGCGCATTCCTCGCTTCTTCGATCTTGCCTGACGGTGGCTGGCCGGAGCTCTTGCCGTTTATGTTCCAGTGCGTCACGTCGGACAATCCAAAGCTTCGCGAATCGGCGCTGTTGATTTTCGCGCAATTGGCGCAGTACATAGGGGAAACCCTAATTCCTCATTTGGATACTCTGCACACTGTTTATTCAGTGTTTGCTCTCTCCTCTTACATTCTCTCTCTCGGCTAGAAGAGGAAGGGAATAAAATAAAATCAGAGGCGAGGGGGTGAGAGTATGAACAAGTGGTGATCTGCAAATTGACCTGCAAAGATGGATATACAAAAATAAATAAAGACACAGGAGGGAATAAAGACACAGGAGGGACTTGACCCTCTTCTCTCTCTCTCCACTTTATCACATGGGTTTTGTCCCCCTTCTTTTCGTTGCTTTTTATTTTAACTAAACCTAACCCACTACACCACTACCATCTCACCTACTCCACTAAACCTAACCCACTACACCACTACCATCTCACCTACTCCACTAAACCTAACCCACTACACCACTACCATCTCACCTACTCCACTAAACCTAACCCACTACACCACTACCATCTCACCTACTCCACTAAACCTAACCCACTACACCACTACCATCTCACCTACTCCACTAAACCTAACCCACTACACCACTACCATCTCACCTACTCCACTAAACCTAACCCACTACACCACTACCATCTCACCTACTCCACTAAACCTAACCCACTACACCACTACCATCTCACCTACTCCACTAAACCTAACCCACTACACCACTACCATCTCACCTACTCCACTAAACCTAACCCACTACACCACTACCATCTCACCTACTCCACTAAACCTAACCCACTACACCACTACCATCTCACCTACTCCACTAAACCTAACCCACTACACCACTACCATCTCACCTACTCCACTAAACCTAACCCACTACACCACTACCATCTCACCTACTCCACTAAACCTAACCCACTACACCACTACCATCTCACCTACTCCACTAAACCTAACCCACTACACCACTACCATCTCACCTACTCCACTAAACCTAACCCACTACACCACTACCATCTCACCTACTCCACTAAACCTAACCCACTACACCACTACCATCTCACCTACTCCACTAAACCTAACCCACTACACCACTACCATCTCACCTACTCCACTAAACCTAACCCACTACACCACTACCATCTCACCTACTCCACTAAACCTAACCCACTACACCACTACCATCTCACCTACTCCACTAAACCTAACCCACTACACCACTACCATCTCACCTACTCCACTAAACCTAACCCACTACACCACTACCATCTCACCTACTCCACTAAACCTAACCCACTACACCACTACCATCTCACCTACTCCACTAAACCTAACCCACTACACCACTACCATCTCACCTACTCCACTAAACCTAACCCACTACACCACTACCATCTCACCTACTCCACTAAACCTAACCCACTACACCACTACCATCTCACCTACTCCACTAAACCTAACCCACTACACCACTACCATCTCACCTACTCCACTAAACCTAACCCACTACACCACTACCATCTCACCTACTCCACTAAACCTAACCCACTACACCACTACCATCTCACCTACTCCACTAAACCTAACCCACTACACCACTACCATCTCACCTACTCCACTAAACCTAACCCACTACACCACTACCATCTCACCTACTCCACTAAACCTAACCCACTACACCACTACCATCTCACCTACTCCACTAAACCTAACCCACTACACCACTACCATCTCACCTACTCCACTAAACCTAACCCACTACACCACTACCATCTCACCTACTCCACTAAACCTAACCCACTACACCACTACCATCTCACCTACTCCACTAAACCTAACCCACTACACCACTACCATCTCACCTACTCCACTAAACCTAACCCACTACACCACTACCATCTCACCTACTCCACTAAACCTAACCCACTACACCACTACCATCTCACCTACTCCACTAAACCTAACCCACTACACCACTACCATCTCACCTACTCCACTAAACCTAACCCACTACACCACTACCATCTCACCTACTCCACTAAACCTAACCCACTACACCACTACCATCTCACCTACTCCACTAAACCTAACCCACTACACCACTACCATCTCACCTACTCCACTAAACCTAACCCACTACACCACTACCATCTCACCTACTCCACTAAACCTAACCCACTACACCACTACCATCTCACCTACTCCACTAAACCTAACCCACTACACCACTACCACCTCCACTTCACCTACTCCTTACCTACTACACACTCACCCTCTTCTATATATAGGAATCATGAATCATTGTAATAGAAATCAACATATATCAATCAATAATACAATTCTCTACTTCTTTTCTTTATTCATTAATTCTCACACCTAGCAATAAAATATGTTTTCATATATTTTTATTTGCTATATAGATTGATATTACACCTACGAACAATCAATATTAAGAAAACTAACTCTATCTTTTTCTTTTTTTCTTTTAAAAAAAAACACTTTTAAATTGACACTTACAATTTATATCCTTTTTATGGATGATCTATTAAGTATTTAAATCGAAGAAAAATATAATAAATATTCAACATTCATTAAAAGTACAAAATAAAATAGGAGAAAAGACAACTTGGCATGTCCTTAATATGTCCCCGGTGTATCCCCTAAAAATAAATTAATTAAATAAGGGGACACACCATATGGTGTGTTCCATACGTGTCTCCAAAGTGTCTGCATGCCCCCGAAGTATCCATGTGTCCGACACGGATATGGCACTTGTTTTGAAGTATTGGTGCTTCATAGACATCTACAAACAAAAACTGTGAAAAAGCATAGCAGCAAATATTGAATAGGTTATTGATTTCAAACCATTTGCAACTCCAAAACGTATATCCCACTAATTGTGTGCCATGCTTAATTTCATGCATGTAACAATAAAAAGTTTTGTCAAGACAGCATGGAATAGATTATTACCGTAACATTGATAGCATTTACAAAACCTTCGGTTTCGCAATGATTTTCTGGTGAAATACATGTAAAGATACCATCTCATCTTCAATTAAAGAACAATTTCACTAATAATAAAAAATAAAAATCAACAATTCAATTGATCCATTTGAAAACACAATAGAATAAAATTTTCTAGTGTTTATTTTTTTCCTAATTGACTACCAGCAGACCAAAACAAAGGCTTTCACCTTAGATAATGAAAGGTAAAGAAAGCCTCTCTTATAGGTACGTGATTGCTTTCATGAAAGTGGATACCTTGGAGATGTTCAATAACCCATGTCATAGATTTATCATCAGCCTAAAATTGGCATTCTAAAAGATAACAGTAAAGAGATGGGTATAGAATTATATTATTGACCAAAAACCAGTATGACTATGCAGCCATTATAGTTTACTATCTTCTTGCACATGTAGGTCAGTGTTTAATCTCTTGCTCTAGTCTGGAGCCTTCAATCAAATTCAACATAAACACATCCCACTTTATTATGTTACTAAGTCAATATATAGATAATAGACACCCAACTACATAAAAGCAATCCTGCTGTTCAAGAACAAAGACACTATACGAGTTTGCAAAAGTTTCTACTAAGTATAGATATCAAATTAAATGCATGGCTGAAAAAATATTTGTTATTTACAATTTTTACCTAGTACTGTCTTCGGAATTTCTAAGGTCAAAAAAAAAAAAATGTGAGGAATAAAATAGATTACAAATTTTTTTATGAAATAATAAAAAATTGAAAGAGAGAACAGACATGATTTAGATTTAAAAATTTCCCTGATAGTTATTTTTCTTCATGGTTTTCATGGTAACCAAAGTAAAAAAATTATTTTCTTTACAATTTCTTCCCCTCTTCCTTACCAAATCCATGAGTGGAACTGTTGAATTGAATCAAGATCCCAAATTTCATACACACAATACCTAAGAATCGAAAATACAAAAGAACAGAAAAAGAAAAGAATGAAAAAAAGACATACCAAGAGGGAAAAGTCCTCCAAAGCCGCCAATCCCAGGTGCCATTTTTGCAATCCTCCTAACAAGCTCAGACCCAGCATCTATATCAACACCAGCATCCTTGTATGTAAGACCACCAGCACCGCCGCTTTCACTCTGGTTGTTGCATGTGCTTGACATTGAGACCGTTACCGACCCACCCTTTGTAATTTTTCGAGAACCCACTTGTTTAGAAGTTAATGCTAATGGAAGAGACCTCTTTGAGAAGCAAATGAAGATGGGTTTGGAGATATATGGTTTATGGGTAGAGTGTGGAATCAAATCCGCTACACATCTTGACGAACACTTTGTGTTTGTTGCTTCAAAGGTCATGGTCATGATGGAGAAGGAAAAATCACTACTACAAAATCAAAGATAGATCACGGATTTTAAGTGTGATATATGTTATTTAATCACGGGTTTTTTATTTTGTCAAAGCATGATCTTTGAGAGTGATTTTTAAAGGTCATTTTCGATCACACTTTTTGACCGTCATTAAAGATAATTCCATCACGTATTTTAACCATGATAATAAATATTTAGATCACAGATTTTAAGTGTGATTAATAAGCAACAAGACCTAAGATTAAATTAAATAATCCATGATTAATAATGAGATAAGATCACGGTTATATGTATTTCTCATCACGGTTAGTGTGTGTGATAAAAAAAAAAGGGATTTGACCACAAAATGTGACTATCAATCACAAGCATACAAACTGTGATTAAAATTTGAACAGAACAAATATCTAGCGGCTATTAGATATTAATGTGTTTTGTCTTGGTTCCATTGAATTTAGAACCATAAAATAGAAACCGCTAGAAATTGAAACCAAAGTTTAAAATAGGGGACGGAATCCTTAGTGCCCCTTCATTATGGGTAGTTGAACAGCTTTTCTATCGCTACATGCTAGATGTTATCATAATGAAGAAATCTTGAATCTTTGAAATTCTCTCTTTAAAACAGAGCAACAAAGCTTTTAGGCCAAGCCACATTACACTATAGAGTCGTGAAACAACAAAAGCAAAATCACAGCAAAATAGGAAACACATATCAAACCAGATTAATATTTGCTCATCCTTTTTAGTGTCAAATTGTTTCCAAATACTGTTCTTGGATAAAATTCTGTTTAGGTGGCTCTGTTTCAACAAAAATAATTTCTCAAACCTAAAAATTAATTGGTATTTTGATGGATCAACTGTACTCATGTCAGTGAATCAAAATTTTTGGGTTTACGATCAACCTAAAATTTGCCTACATTACTAAAAAATAAAAATAAATAAACAAGAATGTAATTTATCCAACTAAGAGGAATAATCAAAACTTACATCCAACTTCAAATAGAAACCAAGAAATTTATAGGCACATTCAAACTAAAGTGACAAATTCAGCAACAGAAACACAAAAAGAACTTGCAAACTCATTGAATTTTCCAACTGATTGACTCAAGAGTACTTGAAAATTCATTGGAAAGAACTTGAATCAAGAGTATGAATTTTGTCCAATAAGGTGTTAAAATTATAATTCTTTTCTATGAAATAGAAATGTTAGATACGAAAAAAATATTTACAAAGAATAATAAAAGCCCCAAATAGCAAACAAAAATGTTGGACACCAAAAAAAAAAAAAAAATCAATCACAGGCTAGGGTTTCAACAATTGAAAAAATTAAGGAGATGAGCAAAGAATGAGAAACAGAGACCGAGAGAGAGAGTAGAACTTACTAGAAGGTCTCGGCGAGTGGAAGAGTTGAGTGTTCTCCTATTCGTGTGAGAAGGTACTGGAGAGACACGTGAGAGTGTTTGCAGAAACGAGAGACAACGAGAGAAGAGTGAGTGAGTGAGGGAGGGAGCGAGCGAGCGAGCAGGTATGGGGCTTGGGGGTGTTTGGGAAGTAACTTTTTTGGTTTTTTTGGTTTTTTTTCACTAAATGACAAATTAATTACAAAATTAAAAAAAAATAAATTCAAATAAAATATCACATCAAATTCCATAATTATTTCATTTTTTCTCTCACAAATATCACATCCAACCACAAAAAAAACCCAATTATCTTCCCAAACACAAAAAAAAAAAATTCTAATAATACCCTACAATTAAAAAAACCTACAAAAACAACTCACTTCCCAAACACCCACGAGCGTAAGATCAAGTCAAGAGAAAAAGAAGATAATGGAATTAAAAACAATACATACACCGTGAACAGAGGAGAATTAGCCAATTCAACAGCTGATCAACACCCAGGGATTTCTTTTCTTCATTATTTTATTTTATTTTTTCAGATCTTAGGAGAATGGATCCATTCTTTTATTAGTTTTACATGAACAGAGGAGCATTAGCCAATTCAACAGCTGATCAACACAACAAAGTGAAAATTCAACAGTATTGATCAATGATTGATGAAAGTAAAATTGAAAGATTGGATTAGTACCTGAAACAATCCCTAAAATCCCAAGACTCTCTCTCTCTCTCTCTCTCTCTCTCTCTCTCTCTCTCTCTCTCTCTAAAAACCCCTATTTCTGTCTCTACAAACTAAAAGGGATCAACTTTCCACTCAACATTCTCTCTTCTCTCTCTCTCTCTCTCTCTCTCTCTTCTTATTCAATGGAAACGTTAAAACACTCATTTTATTTTGACTATATAAAGCAACCAATCATCAAAACAGAGATGACCTATTTGCTTAAAAACTTAAGGAGTAGCTATATTGATCTTGATCATTTGCAAAGGCAACTGCCATTTTTGTAACAAAGCTTTTATGCAATCCATTTTGACCCTAAACCCTTTTAACATAACATAACAAAGCAAAGTCCCAAGAAAATAAATAGACAGTAAATCAATTTCATCTTCCACATGAGAAGTCAAAGCTAACAATTTCCAAATGCATCAGAATTCACAACTGATTTAAATCCATAGCTTTGAACAACATTGAGTTAAAATTTCCATGAATCAAAGCAACAACTCTGTGAAGCTAACCGTATTTTCTGCTGATTGATGCGTAAGTCTCTTCGACAGGTTTCGCCAATTGCAAAAGAGTGCCAACAACTCTGTGAAGCAACAACTCTGTTTGGAAGTTGAGAAAGTGACGAATAGATGAATTTGTAAACACACACAGAACAAGAGAGAAAGAGAGAACGAGATAGAGAAACTCACAACGCCGGAGAACCACCGTGGCAACGCCGCCGCTAGATCGTTGCCTTTGCAAAACCTATGGAGATTGTTGCCTTCGCCGCTATGTGAGAGTGAGAGTGAGAGTGAGAAACCGTGAGAGTGAGATTGAGAAAGAGAACCCTAACACATGGGGAAATGGGGGGTCCCCCATATCCTATGATATTTTAAAAACCTACTTAATTAATTCCGTGGGTCAAAAAAAAGGGAAGATTCATATATTTGGATCGGATCTTCATAAATATTTATAGGGTTTATTTTAGTTTTTTTTTTATATAAAAATATTAGATGTCTTAAAAATTTAATTAAAAATTTTATCAAATGTATCATAGAGTTGTGAGATCTACATTGTATGGAACCTACATTGTATGGATCCTACATCTATATAAGATATTTAGTAAAATTTTTAATAAAATTTTTGGGATCTCTAACATTACTCTATTTTAATAGGTTAAAATTTTTGTGTTTAAAAAAATAATTGAATTTTTTTATAGTTAAATATTGTACGGGGAGCAAATATTCGTCACTGTCCGTACTCATTTCGTCCAAGCTCCGTGTCTATCTGACCAACCTGAAAGCATAACGGCGGTGAACTACCTAGCGGTATGTTACCGGAAACCCTTCCGACGGTCAAGTTAGCACACACTCAAAGAGAGAAAGAGAGAGAAACTCAATGAATGTAAGTCTATCTCACCGAAAATGATGTTCCATGTCCAGCATGGGGGCGCAGTCACGCTTATATATTTTTTGCGCTCAACTCTGCACCCATTAGTCTCTTGACACGTGGTGCTGCTCTCCCATTTGTCAGCACAAATCCAACAATCACCACCTAACCCAACCGTCAGGCTACATTAGCGGGGACTCGGTAGCCCGACAGAATTACCTCAGCCTTCCAAGACCGTGCTGCGTAACGTACCCGAGTGCTCCACTCGTCGAGCTCCATACCAGCCGAGCTCGGTAGCACTCCGGCAGGACCGAGTTCCAGACAGGTTACACTGGCATTCAGAAGACTTTTCCCACCGAGCTAATCGTGCTCCCACAAAACCCGGTAGCAGACGCTCATCTCGGCTACGTAGACCTCGGGGATAGGCCTCGGCCGAGCAAGTCCAAATCCGGGGAAGCTCGGTCCAAACATGGGACTTGGACCTCAGACCTAGGCCTGGACCGAGCAAGATCATCTCAAAGAAAGCCCCAGTTAGCTCGGCCTAAACAGGGGCGAGTCTCGACCTAGCAAATCTCATTCTGATCAGGCACAAGTTAGCTAGGCCCAAAACATGCTCGACCACCTTCTGTCCGGCTCCTTCCACGGCCCAAAGCCAGATTATAAATCTCCCTCTCAATTGCCCCTTAATTTCGTCCGCGCAAGCGTGACTGGGATTACATGATCCGACCGGGGTAGATTCTCCCTCGGTTCTTAGTTCGCAAGACATTAACCGCGCTAATCCCCATGCTCGGTTTCTTGGCTTGCTCGGTTGACGCCTCGACTTGCCATCTTGTCTCTTCAGTACTGACGTCGCCGCCATTATGAACACACGCCATCCATTTATTGGCCTCGAGCAGCCAACCCAGACGTCCCTTCACATTCGAAATTTTGGCGGTTCTTTTCGCCTATAAACACACCATATTTCCCTTTCATTCCCTTCTTACTGCTTCATCGTTGCTCCAGACGAACCAAAACTGCTGTGCCAACCTCACTACTCAAACATTGTTCTTGCCTTGGATTGAAACTCGAAGAATCAGCTTTTGCCTCTATACTGGTAAGCTCTTCGAAACTCCTCATTGCTTTTTCATTTGGTATTTCACATTCTAAGGCACAAAATCCATATATTTTAGGATTTTACCCCCCCAAAAACCTCTTTTCCCCCTGCTCTCTTTGTTGTTCTTCAACTCCAGTGATGAACACACGAAGATCTGGAGCGGATCGAGCTCCAGGCCTTCTTTTGATCTCAAAAAAACACCTAAACCGAGCAAATTGCGAGTTTGCAAAAACTCCTGTATGAACCGAGGTAGGCAGAGGGCTTGACCGCTCGACCGGGCTAACATCTGGTCCGCTTGAGCGGCCGAGCTTCTGGATTTACCTTCGTGACCGAGGTGGTTTGGCACTCATCTGACCGAGCTTAAGTCAAGCTCGTTTTGCGCGACCGCGCTCCCACTTACACTTACCCTTCTTTTCCTGCAGAGTCTAAGGAAACCACGCACCAACACTAAGGCTCTCAAAGACCGAACAGCCATCAAACAAGAGTTTGTGCCAAACCAACACAGTCGTGCTAAAACCAACCAGCTGCACACATGGGGCGCTACCGCTTCCTGGTCGACACGTCGGTCGCTCTAGCTGCGTTCCGGAAAGAATATGGTATCCGGACGACGTTCATCTAGAGCTCGGTGCCGAGGACACGACCCCTTGGGGCAGATTAGACCAGTGCCCCTTCACCGTGCTTTTCATTATAGAAGGTGGCCTCCGCTTCCCGGTTAACCCCCTAATGTGCGAGTTCTTGCGGCGCACCGGGCTAGCACCAACCCAAGTATCAACCAACACTTACCGCATAATAAACGGAATTACCGAGCTAAACAACCGGCTAGGAACCAATCTAGGATTAGCCGAGATACTTCGCCAGTATACCCTCGGGCATACAGGCGACGGCCTTGCCTATTATTTAAAGATCAGACCAGGCAAGGAGAAGGTAGTGACCAGCACCCCGGACAAAGATATGCATAACGACGAGTTTTTCTGGATGTCCGGTAATTATGAAACAGCCGACGTACCGGGCTGGTATATCAGCAAGAACTTCGGTTCAACATGTAAGCCATGCTAACTGCTCGGTCAAATTACATTCTTTCTATATTCTGTACTTAATATCTTTTCTTCTTCTCCTCTCTGCAGCAATCGAAGCCTTGCAAGCCAACTACCATTATCCCAACGAAGCAGCCATCAAAACCGTGCTTCGGTACCCTAACCGGGACTGCCACGACCTCCTCGGTTACATGTCAACCTACAGATACTCCGCTCTCCGCCAGAGTAAAGTGACTGGCTTTCTTCGTGCGCCGTCTCCACCACCCGACCCAACACTACTGGACGTGTCCCTAATCCGGTTGATCGAAGAAGAGGAGATGACAAAACGAAGCCGCATCAAAAATCTCATAACCGCCACATCCACCAAGCTATCAAGCATCCTACATCGCACTTCAAGAGCTAGGTAAACATCTGAGGCCGTCATTGCCTTGGCATCAACCCCCCCATCACAGGCTAGCAAGGACACCCGCCGAGCTGGAAAAAGGCCTCGAACCGCCGATCCCTCAGCCGAGCTCGTCGCGGAGCTGAACACCGAGCAACCCGCGATCACAACCGAGCTACCACCGCCCTGGAAGCCCCAGTTGAAGCACCGGGGTAAAGAGATCCCAGCAACCGCCTTGGTCAAAGGTGACAAGGAACACCTCCTTGCCTTCGACCTAACAAAAGCCCTCCTACTGCCGAGCGACGTGGTCGGCAGCGACCACGTGCCTGACACCCGGCTGGTGAAGTCCTCGGTCAAGTCTATGACCTAGGTAAGAGTTTTGCATGCTTTATTCAAATTTTTCCAAGTGTTTGCCCGGTTCCCTCTTTAATCAAACTCTCTTCTTGCAGGCCATCCAAAAACAACACCTTGTATTTGAGTGAATTCATAAACTCCGACAGAAGGCAACCGACGCTGCCAGCCAGGTTGTGCACCTTCAAACCGAGCTGGGGCAATCAAAAACTTCTTTGAAGATTGCAAACTCCGACAACTCTAGATTGCTCGGCCAGCTTGGAGCCGCCGAGCAAGAGAGGGACTCTCTCCGAGCCGAGCTGGTGGTGTTGAAACAATCAAGGAATGATGAGCTGGATGAGGCAAACAATAAAGGTTTCAAGGAGGCCGAGGAAAACTACACGAAGCAAGTCCATGCCACCCAAGATATTTTTTTCAAGGCTGGCTGGAAGGCTGCTTGCGAACAGCTCGGCCAAGGATCTGGAACCGACGTGTTTGCCTTTCCCCTAGCTGCCTTCCTACCGACACACATGGTGCCATACGCCAATGATGTCTTTAGTGCATTGCAGGCCGAGGCCGAGGAAGACAGCGGGGAGGAAGCCGAGGAAAATGCCGAGGGAGATAACCGCCCAAAGCAGATCGGCCAGCTGGAGACCGGAGTCCAGGAAAAAACAACCCCTTTCACCGTGCTTTCTATTATTGAAAGTGGCCTACGCTTCCCGGTCAACCCTTTAATGTGCGAGTTCCTGAGGCGCACCAGGCTAGCACCAACACAAGTTTCAACCAACACTTATAGGATAATTAACGGGATAGCCGAGCTGAACAACCGACTAGGCTTGAGCTTAGGACTAGCCGAGATACTTCGCCAGTACACCCTAGGGCATACCGGCGATGGTCTCAACTACTATTTAAAAATCAGACCGGGTAAGGAGAAAATAGTGACTAGCACCCCGGACAAAGACATGCATGATGACGACTTTTTCTGAGTGTCCAGTAATTATGAAACAGTCGATGTGCCGAGCTGGTATATCAGCAAGAACTTCGATTCAACATGTAAGTCGTGCTAACTGCTTGGTCAAATTACTTTCTTTCTATATTCTGTACTTAATATCTTTTCTTCTTCTCCTCTCTGCAGCAATCGAAGCCTTGCAAGCCAACTACCATTATCCCAACGAAGCAGCCATCAAAACCGTGCTTCGGTACCCTAACCGGGACTGCCACGACCTCCTCGGTTACATGTCAACCTACAGATACTCCGCTCTCCGCCAGAGTAAAGTGACTGGCTTTCTTCGAGCGCCGTCTCCACCCCCCGACCCAACACTACTGGACGTGTCCCTAATCCGGTTGATCGAAGAAGAGGAGATGACAAAACGAAG